GTAAGCGACGAATTGGAATGAGGTTACAAACAAAAAGGCGGACAATTTAAATCATCTTTTTGACGACGAAGAGTCGGAATAGCTGGGGGATATTGATCCAAGTTTATAAGATAAATCGAACGAGGACGACATTGAAATTTCATCATTTATTGAAGAAAATAGAAACAGCTACACGACACAACTCGTAAAAATACTCAGCGATACTACACAACAAAGCGTCCAATAAGATATGTTTATTATCCAACTATACTCAGTAGAGTACAAATAACCCCATAGACGAGTACAAATATCACGCGGCTCGTCAAAATACGACGCAACTCGTAAAAATACTCAGCGATACTACACAACAAAACGTCTAATAAGATATGTTTATTCACTGTAATCACGAAAAGCATTAACAAAGATTATGATAAAATGCTTGAAAATCGAAAAGTACATATAAATGCAAAAGCTAGCGGATACACGCTTCGTCTTCGATTTGGTGGCAGTCGTCGATGAAGTCTACTATTTTGTTAGAAGGTGTCCATGAACCCCTTACACTTGTGTGCACCGATCTTAATATCTCAATATGACAATAGTATAAAATGATAAAAAAAAAAAGAGAACGAATGCAAATGGCGCTAAATCTACGCAATAAATAACAGTCGTGTCTCGCAGAAACGTTTTTCGTCTACATGGATAAGTAAGCCTATATTAAATACAGACCCTCGAATTTCTAAATATTATTTTTAAAAATTTATTTCTTATTTTTAGCATTTTTTTAGTTCTAGTATTCTGCCGCGTTCCTGGATGTTATGAATGTTCATTCGTTTTTTAATTTTTTTTTTGGTTTTTTGCACTTTTTTCAACAACCCGCTTCTGCGTTTTATTGTTCCACTTAGTGATACCATGATACCAAGTTGATATTTTATTTTCCTTTGCAAGGTTTTTGCTTTTCCCATCGTGAAGGACGTTTTTCTCATAAACCGTTCATTGCCGGCTTTGAATAACAACTAATCACCAGTTTACTCACCGCTAGCAACTAAAAATACTACATTAATGCCTTTGACTTAACTTTCATTATTGAAATTTTTACTCAAGGTTGATCTTTCCAAAAGACTGAAGTCAACAAAGATTTGCAGTTTTGTCGCAGAATGGAAAAGACATTGGCAGAAAAGGCTGTATTCCGCTGATTCCTATGCTTTGGAGTGGTCACGATTTGCCGGCCCCCCACATCTGAACCGGAGAGACCGCTGACCAAAGTCAGCTCGAGTACAAAAATGATGTTAGTGACAAAAGAATTGACAAGCTGTTCAAGGTCTCATTTAATACTTATTCTAAAAAGGGACCTAGATGAATGTTTAGAGCTATTCACATTGAAAACGTTACCGAAAGCTTTTTACAGAGACCTCATAAGTATGCTTAAGCGTTCCTAATGTAAACTGAAGACGAACATTTAATGATTTATCTTATTGCTCTTCTGGTGTTAAATCAACCAGCTACAAGCTAAGAAATTGTTTTATGGACGCTGAGTGCAGTTAGCATTTCACGTTCATTTACGAGTATAATTTCAGGGAGCTTGTTGCGACTTGTTAAACTTGTTAGACTGATTCTTCGTTAGAAACGAAAAGTTCAGTAAGGTCTTAACTTCATTTTCTGCCAAATAACTTTTACAGCTTGAGACTTTTAGAGAGTACCACCTGTGATGCTCTCGTATTTTAGTTTATTTTCTCTATTAATAGAGGTACTTTCAACTTTGTGTAAATAAGAAATCAGCGAAATTTATATCCAATTTATGTGTACATGAGTCATACCAGCCTGGTTGAAAATGGAACCAGAATGACCGTGCGGCGATCGTTTTTCCAGGGGAAAAAAAGGATACTCAATGCGCCTATTTTTGCATTTAAATTAGTTTGCGTATATTTTTCAAATTTGATGACAATACTTGATGTTTTAAAAAATACCTTCTTCTATCAGAGAGGAAGGGCTGTAGTCACTCAAAGTAAAGTAGTGTTACAATAAAATGTAAACAGAGAAGGATTCGATGTCCAGTTGATGTGAAATTCAACGAGCATAGCCCAGACCTCAAGTAGGGGCGTGTAGTCAGTGTGGTAAGATGTCTGTGTCAGTCAGTGTATCGTTGTATAGTTAACTACACCAGGGTGATGAGAGGCTGAAACTGTTGGCCTTTTGTCAACTCCCCCCAAACATACGCTTGGCCCAAACAGTCTGACCATCTAGAGGGTTAGAAATAAGTGCAGGTGAATCAAAGTCAAAGTTTTCTTTTGTTTTCGGTGTTAAAAGTGTAAGTTTCTAGCACAAATCGCGAAAGCGAGTTTTTCTTTCAAATCCCGCGCCCGATTATAATGTTTGACATGTGATTTTTATACATTTTGTACCTGATTGGTGCATTGGAAATAACTCTGGTTACCTAGCACGTGATCACTGATGTGCATGCTTGAAGTCACGCTTGTTGGACTTTCGGCCGAGCCTGCACGCAATGTTCTTTATTTCTATTAGTTCCTAATTAATGCAAAACGTCCTTGAATTTGAGAGCCAAGGTCCTTGAAAATGCTTTAAAAAGTCCTTGAAAGTCCTTGAATTGGGTTCCTGAAAAAGTGTAAGAACCCTGTTTTAAACACCTGGATCAGATAATCTCCCCCTCTAATTAGGAGCCTGAAATTTGAAGGGTTCGTCCTTCAGTCGGGGCGTTAGCGCACGGTCCATTACTTGGGATATTTCTTTAGAGAGAACTTAGCTGATGATCATTTCCTTTATTCTCATGAACTTAATGTTTGATCCAGGGTTGAAATCTTAAGGAAAAATTAGATGCTAATCACTCATAGAGGTAAAAGATACCTAAATCTCTAGCCAAAACTGCTTGCCCATGCATGACAGGTTGGTTTTCAACGTTTATTACATGCATTTTATAGGTTCGCGTATCCCCTGGCAAGGGCCAACATATTTATCGATATAAACGGCCTAATTTACCGCCGATAGAGTAAAGTTACAATCATGACCGGACTGGATTGATGAGGGGAAACAAGAGGGGAAAGAGGAGGGTGGAGAGGGGAAAGAGGAGGGTGGAGGGTGGAAGGGGACAACTGTCCGAAATAGGAATTTTGGTGATCCAGGAACATGTTCCATAGTGTTGGAAGTGTTTTCCCTCCATCATTCCCATCTTCACTGCGGAGGAAGAATGTTAGCAGATCCCCAAAATGAAGTGCATGATTCAGTCAGGTGTTTCCCCGACTTTAATGGCTAACATTTGTGCTGGACTATCGTTACTTATGCAAAATTAGATAAAAACGTTTGAAAGAAAGTGAGTACATTTGCTAGCAAGCTGGAATGGCCGAGACAATTCCTCAGTGGAATTGAAAGCCAAGCGATACAACCTTCGACGGACTCGAGTCTTCGTCCCTCCTGCAGCAAAGACCTGTGGATTTATGAACACCTTTATACCTTCTTCAGTTGAGGTTTAGAATCAACCCTGACACGTAAATTATGAACTGCATTTTCCAACAGACTCACAGATATAATGTATTTTTCATTGACTATAATAATATATTGATTCCATAGATAACTCGTACATAGATTTTATATAATTTTTGTAAATCACGCTTTCAATGTTTGTGTGTCTATTTATCACGCCCTTTATGCACACGCACAATTCAGCTTCTCAGCTGCAAAGTGTTATTTGAATAAACGTATCCATTTATTCATCTATCTATCCGGCACATCTCCCAAGGCTGCTAAATTCTTACTTATTACACCTGGGGTTGTCAACGTTTCGGCTCATGTAAACAGACCCGTGCGCAATCCCTGAAGTCCCCTGGTCTCGTCACGCTACGTTTCGTGACGCGACCAAACAAGTCCGTTCCAGACTCCCATGGGTATAAGGTTTGAACATTCGCCTTTAATCTACCGCTAGCGAAACTAATTATACCAAATTACCGCATACATGCTGATAAAGTAGGACCTATTTACCTACCGAGAACAAAACAAAGGCCAAAACAAAACAAAACAAAGGAAATGATTTCAGAATGTCTTCGGTATCGCAGTCGCACTTGACATGTGGCAAGGTTCAAGCGAAAGAGGAAAATTCATCGCTTTTACATCTGGTAAAAAGAGATCATGGATAAAATTCCACGCGTGAAGATTACTGAAGAACAGAAAAACATTCTGAAATCATTTCCTTTGTTTTGTTTTCCTTTGTTTTGTTTTGTTTTGGCCTTTGTTTTGTTCTCGGTAATCTAATCTCGGTAGGTAAATAGGTCCTACTTTATCAGCATGTATGCGGTAATTTGGTATAATTAGATTCGCTTATAAGCGGTAGATTAAAGGCGAATCGGGTG